TCCCTTGCAATCTAAAAACTGCTCGCTGTTATTTACTACTTGCTCTTCTTTCTCTGTTGTTCCTCAAACCATATGGCACAGTTTCTTTCTCCCTGACTGGAGGGAGCCTGCAGATTTTTTTAAAGAGAAACCGAGAATAATTAACCAGTCTTTCTTGCTGCAAATTTTAATAGATAAGCAACTGTTTGGGAAGATATTAACATAATTAGCAGGGGCCATGAATGTTTTCATGAATATTCCTTCTCTGTCTGAATATTCTATGTGATCTAAGTTATGCTTTACTAACTTGCATAGTTTAAATTTCCAACTCTAAACATAAGTTATCAGTCATTTTAAATGTTGTAATTGTGTCTATTATATATCCCCAAGACCTGTGGTGTCTCAAATATTTCTGAGTATCTCTGGATATGGAGCAGAGTCATACAGTATAAAACACACTATGCCAAAATCATCCAAACTTTCCAAAGCTCTATTTTGTACCTAAGCACACCTAAGCACAAAGGCATGGCAAAATCCCTGAGGTGATGAGAAACTGTACAACTCTGCCCATCCTACACATAGTCACTAGGAATCTATGAAGATTGAATGGAAGCTTCGAAACTTGTCAGCATTTACTAGTTCTAAGTAATTTTGTTGCCTTTTAGAGTGGTTTATTCCTAAGTTAGCTCAAGATCCTTGCACTGGGCAGCAGGACGTAAAAAATGCTCTGTAGTGAATGTCTGATATGTGATCTTGTGCATAGGCAGATCCTAGCTGAGGTAGGTGTGAGGCAACTTCTTCTTCAGGCAGTTAGTGTTCCTAGTGCCCTGGATGTACTTTTAACTGATTTATGTAGCAATGTGGCCAACAGATTGGTTAAAGGTTGCAGGAATAGTTTGGATAACTTAGTTTTACCTCAGCGCAAAGTCAGTAAGCACTGGGGGCGTTCAACACAGAAAGGCTGACAGTTTCTTGAAAAGCATCTTGTTGGAGGTAGCTTCAGCATAAACTCCTTTACCCTGAAGGCTATTAGTGCCATGGTCAACAGCTATGTGCCCTGGGAGCACAGATAGGCCCTAGTCACGCAGTTAGCTTTCGTGTGTCGAATAACTCAAAGTTCAGGCTTAGTTCAAGCTTAGAATGTGCACAACGGTGCAGCCTGTAATAAAGATAAGGGTGAAATGCACGGTTTGTCAACCAATCCGCATGTGGAGTAAAAATGTATTTGGATCTCTCCTAAAGTCAGGTCGTCTTCAGATCTAGCAGTTTAATACAGAGCCGCCTTTAATTCCAAGTTGTGGACTCTGCGTATTTCTGAGAGAGAGACTTTTTCCCAAATACTGCAGTGCCCAGGCCGTTGCGATTACCCAGGAACAAACAAGGAAATGGGAAATTCAACGCTAGATCTGGGTGTCTGTGCCTCACTCTGCACTATCCAGTGTTAGACTTCATCTTTCTTTATGTGAAACAGCTTTTGCAGTCTTATCTTGAAACTTCCTGCCTGGTATGAAATCTGGAAGATTACATCACAAATCTATCTAGTATTATTTTGTGTTTCTATTAACATATTGTCTTAAACTTATTGTCCATGTTGCTTCTACTTGTGCTAAGTGAATCCTGTGATGTCACTTGAAGTCTAATGCAGAAATGCCCGCCTTTTCCATCTTTAAAAAATGAGCTTTCCCCCTTCCAAGTATACTGTTCAGCACTCATCCCTTTTCACATTTAATGATGTGAAAAGTTTAATTACAACATCTTTATACTCCTACCCAAATTTCAGTTACCATCTCTTTGTCTATCTCATGATCTTTATAGATCAGAAATCTTCTCTGGATAATGTTTTCCTGCTTTTCTTAACTGTCATTTGTGATCTCCTCTGTTCCACATCTGAACACCTGGGAGCATTTACTTCCCAGTAACTGAGCTGAGTCATTTCAGTTGGTCTTTGGGTTAGAAGCGCACACCCTGCCCACTTGCTATTTTAGTAGGAGTCAGCGAATTCCCAGCCACACCGGGACTCTGAGTGCCTAAACGGACATTGCACACAGCCACACGTAAACAGCTTTTCAGCTGAAATATGTTGTACTTATGAGGGGAAAGGTGGAACAGCCATTCACTGGATACTCTGCATGTGCTGTGGACTGCTACTGTACATTTTGCAGTACAATCCATGGGCTGTTCAGGTCCAAGGGCTGTGTGAGAGGAACCCTGGACGTGCACATAGGGTGAGAAATGAACCTAGCCCTTCTGGTAACGGGCATTGCCACCAACGTGGATACAACCATACTGCTTTATTTATTTATATCATTCTTCTACATCTTGGAATCTTACTCCCATATGTTATTTTTATTTGCTTGTCTCAGGCAGGTGCTCACTTATTCTGCCTTTCAGTATTCAGTCTGTATCATGCTGACTAAATTGAGATATTTAATTCTCATTCAGGGAACATTAGCAGGGCTGAATGACTCAATATTGATGAAGGATGTCATCAATAATTCATGGACACAGGCCTGGCCTAGGGCAGTAACTGAAACCTGCTCCCGGAGGTGCCAGCTGTGATGACGGCTGGCGTGAGGCAGGCTGAGTGGTCTCGCATTAAGCTCTGCCAGCCTAGAGCTGTGAGTCATGAGCCTCTGTAGTGACTGGAGCCATGGCACTTGTTTGTAGTCTTAGTGGTGATCTCAAATTCTAGACTTCTTGCCTGGGATTTGAAAAAATACCATAGGTACCTAAAAAGGCTGAGCTATCCCCAAGGCGCCTACACAGAGCTCAGCTCTTCTGCCTGTGGCCTCGCTCCGGTTGTCCCACAGCTCCCTGGAGCTCCTTGTGGCCCCTCAAAGTGGGATGAGAGGCTGTAACAGGCTCCCTCCTTCCCTTCAGGCCAACCCAAGCTCCTGCTACTCAGGTTGGTGATAGCTCTTCACCAAGAGTAATTCATCGAAAAACAAGTCATTGACACCCCTGTCAGAAGACTTGCTGGTAAAGGGTGTTACCACGCCAGGAAGCTCCAGCCAAATAGTAACAGTTCCTATTTTTGCCCCTGAGGCAAAATTAACTTCTTATATTGCCTATAAGCATATACGTTTCCTCATCACTGGGGGAACTCCTCTGAACGCAACGAAAGTAACAGCAAAGCCAAGACGCTATCGGCCAGCAGAGCGCACAGGGCCGCCCGCACCACGCGTTAGCCCCGCGGCTCCACACGGGCGGCGCGATCCGGCTGGCTCCGGTTCCTTCCCGCCCGCGCCACGCACGCGGTGACGCAGCGGCCCGGCCC